TCCAGTATAACGTTCCATATTGTTACATGAGGCAAAATATCGGTTATCAATTTTCGTCAAAGTCTGGAAAGGTACGAGCCGGTCTAGCTTGATACAACGATTTATCAAATTTCTTCTAGAAAATTGTCTTGAAGAAGAACGATGGACCAAGAAATCCCTGGGGTGGTGACATTGAGGAGATTACATTTACGTCGAAATACTTTGGAAAAACTTTGAATGTTAAGATTGGTGTGGAAGGAAGGTGAGCACTAACCTATCTACCGTCACCTTCCAAATAACTTACATGGCATACTGCCAAAACCAATTTTCTGCATGAAAGGAATGCAAAGTAAAATCTCAAGTCAATTCTAATATTTTATTTTCGAAAGAATTGACCGTTCTGCTAACATGACGAATTTTTGCAAGTAGAGTTATTGCTTTTCCTTCAGATACGAGCCACCTCTTGATCTTCCATACGAACGATCCAAATCAGAGGATTTTTTGAAGGTATATGTCATACCCAATTAGTTAAACACTTCTGGTAATTTCTCGAAAAAACCGGAAGTCTTTAAGGAAACTAATTTAGTTTCAGACAATCATTTCGCCGTAATATTTGATACAAAAGGTCTTTACAGCTCGAGACATATACGGAGGAGGGATCAGATTTTTACTTCAAAGTCATTCGCAGTTCTACGAAAGAAGTCCTCTTTGACACTTCTATAGGTGATTCTACCGATTCTGTTGGTTCTAAACATGACAAATCCAAAAAATTGCTTCAATGGTAGAATTTCAGGAGGTCTAATCTTCTCCGACCAGTTCATACAAATTGTTACGCGGCTTCCATCAGATGTCATGTACGGATGGGGCGAGAACAGTCATCCAACACTGAAAGTTAGACCTAGCGCATGGAAAATATAATCGATTTTGAACTTAAAAATGATTTCAGCATAGATTCGACCGTTACACTACCTGGGCTATGTTTGCACGAGATGAGTGGCCATATTCGGAGAAACTTGACACAAAGAATCTTTACGGTGAGAAATTACTTTATAAAAAAGCCAATTTTCAAAAGTAGTAAATTCAGAAAAATTATTATATTCCAGGTGTGCATCCATTTTACATGATATTGGAAAAGGATGGAAAAGCACATGGCGTGTTCATACTCAACAGCAACGCGCAGGTATATCTTTGGCTCGTTGACCGCACGGACTGCTCAAATGCGCGGACCGCTCGCGGCGCGGCTGAAATGCTGCGGGAGCACGACTTATACA